CCTCAGTGGTCAGTACCTATGGCAGAGGACAGAGGGCCGTAGGGACAGGGTGGAAGGACCCTCAGTGGTCACTTCCTGTGAGAGAGGACAGAGCACCATGGGGATGGGGTGGAAGGACCCTCAGTGGTCAGTACCTGTGGTGGAGGTGGGGGCACGGATGGAAGCACCCCCAGTGGTCAGGTGACCCAGGGCCTTGTGAGGAAAGCTGGGTGCACCCTGAAGAACAGGGAGGGAGGGTGTTGGGCAGCTCAGGGTTGCAGGTGAGGATTTGATCTCTGACGTGGACCAACCTTCCACCTGTCCCAGGGTCCCTCACCTATTGGAGGAGCTGGGCATAGTCCCCTCCTGGTGTGTCCTCAGGTCTGGGAGGATCCACCCCTGGAAGCACATTAGGCCCCGCTGGCTGGGGACTGGGGACCAAGACTGCCACTTGTCTCGCAGACCTGCTGTGGAACTCTTCTCTCCTCTTTTTCTTGGTCTTTAAACAAAACTTTTTGTTGTGAATTCGGTGCAGGTTTACAGAGCAGATCATGAGTTTTACATTCAGCAAACCCTACTTGACTTCATCTCAATGACTGCATCCCCTCTGTGTAGAAACAGTTACTCGGCTTCCTCTCTGTGCGCCTTGTTTCCATTCGTCCTCTCCTCCCTCCCCTTCTGGACTCTGTCCCTAGGTAAATGCTGCCCTTTCAACCCTGAATCGTTGACCATTCCGTAGTGTTGTTCCCCCTGTAGACCTATTTGGCTGAAAATTGAGGCATAGAGTGAGTTCAATTACAGATATGAAGGGGACTTGGGGTTCCATCAGTCTCTATCTTACCAATAAGCCTGGCTCTCTTTTTAAAAATTTCTCCCACTCTATTTAGGACACTGGTGTGGTGCTGGGGGTTAATGTGTCAGACTGCATAGCCGTTTGAACTGCAAGGTTGGCGGTTCAAGCTCACCAGTTGCTCCTTGTAAACCCTATACAGGGTCGCTCTGGGTCAGTACTGACTTGACAGTACTTCACAACAACAACAAATGCACTCCCATTCAGAGAAGTGGGCAGTGGTATTCCCACACCATGTAGTTCTTTGGGTCTCGCGGTCATGCAGATGGATGCTCATGTGGTTTGCTGGTCCACTGGACTAATTACTTCAAAGTCTCTTGTCTTCATCAGTCATCTTTCCTCCAGGCAAGGAAAGACCAACAGGAATCCCTCCTTCTTAAAGCACCAAGTTCCTACGTCCACTTTGCTAAGTCCCTGGATTTTAGTGTCTAGACACCAAGTCCAGGAGTTACTTCACTCACTCAGGACTTGAAGCTGGAGGGATTAGCTCCCACAGAAAACCTTAAGATTGCTGCTGGAACAGCCCCTGCCCTGGTGTGGCTGGAATCACTATAGCATTGAAAACAATCAGGTTCATTGGGGAACACCTGGGAGACTGAGGCAAGGTTGGAGGGCAGGGAAGCTTATGAAAAAAGCACAAGAAAAAGAGGGCTTACATTTAGGTTCCTCAAGTACAAATGATGAATGTGCTCAGGCGCTACCCAAAGGTTGGAAGTTGACGCCTCCGAGGAAAGGCCT